TCTTTTTCTTAATATCAGACCAAGTTAGAGATATTCCTGTTTTTAACTTTTATTACTTTTCTTTAGAGCATTTTGCTGGACCTGACTTAGTCAACTTTGAAGATGTGGCTGGAGGTAACAACTTGGAGCTTACAAAGCTCACTCTTCTCCTCATGTACATTATGATATTTATGGATGCCAAATTGAGAAGCAAGCTTATCAGCTCCCCAGTAATGGATCAGTCCACACAAATAAAGGTGAGAAGACTTCACAGTCACTGTCACAGTTAATAATGTTTGGGAGTAATGTATAGACTACAGGTTATTTGACTAGTCACTTGTATACATTACAGGAACATTCCATGAAATTTGTATATATATATATATATATATATATATATATATATATATATATATATATATATATATATATATATATATATATATATATATATATCAAAGCCATGTTGCAAGGAAAATAATTATATTTCATAGCTTTTGAGTAAGTTTTAATTTAAATCTACTTTGATCCTATTATGATAATTTCATTTCCAATCCATGTGTGTGTCCCAAGTACAAAATGTGAATACAATTCAGTTAGATTATCTTTGAAAGGAGTAAGTTACAGATTTTTATGTGCTTGTTGACCGTTATTGTTTAATCTCAGATTTTTAACAGGACAAACCAAGTTTGACATAAAAAAGACAATTTAATTGTTTAACATTACAGATATCTCATATTGGCAGTGAAAAGACAGCTAATGAAAGTTTGCTTATTACTTCTGTGGTTCAGTCATCTTTTTTTCCCCAAAATCTTAGGATTTTATGCCTAGAACTTTAAATCTTGGCAATTTTAAGTGGTGGGGGTATTATACCTTGTTTTAATTCATATAGTGTTTTAGTCAATTCAGTTTTATATATATATATATATATATATATATATATATATATATATATATATATATATATATATATTTAACAGAAATGTTCAGTAATACAATCTATGTTTAAGGGATACAAGTTTCCCTGCAGGACTGTAAGTGGTAAACTAGAGTTAAAGGAAAAGCTAAAGACACTTAAGTGATGCCTCGGCTATCTTATGCAAATCTGATCCTTAAATTTTAAATTTAATTTTATGCATTCGGTTACTTCCTATGTTCTCTTTAATTTGACAATGTTATCTTGACTTGTAACCAGAATCAAATACTGGTCACATGTTAGTATAAGTGTTTCTTTTATTATGCACATTTTGTTTATTTGTTTGTTTATTTTTATATATTTTTTTCCAGTTTAAATATCTCATTGAGTCAATCCAGAGAAGAGGATCAGGGATGAGCTCAAAGTTCCTAAACATACTCTGTACAGAAAGACTCGGTAAGCAGAAGATTCTTTCCTAGGGAATGATAAGAATTATAAAACTTCAGCAGTAGCCAGAAATATGAAATTATAATTTCAGTCTGAACTAGTTTTTGAAAAACAGTATTCCTTTTCAACAGATGGCAAAGTGTCAGCACGTTGCCAGACTCCAGTTTCAAACAGTGCTCCGTGGGGCTCTCCAAATGTCTATTCCAGCTCCCCAAAGGCAGCACCAACATCACCGTTACGAGACTTAGTGCAGGTAGACCAAAGAGGGAGACTTGTAGTAATATGCTGCTTCTTAGTTATTCTCCATTCAAAATGTATAGAGAATCTCTGAAGAAAGAAATTTTAATGAGTAACTAATACCTATTCACTTAAGTTATAATATACCCAGAATATTTTAGGAGATGTCTAATATTTGAGTTTAATTCATATATAACCATAGTAATTTTTTATTCATTTATTTATTTATCTATTTTTTATTTATTTTATTTATTTTTTTATTTTATTTATTCGTCACCCCCAGAGTCCACCATTTCGAATGCAAAAACTTTTAAATGCCAAAACAAAAGAAGTTAAGCAGTTGCAACAACAAATACATGGTTTGGAAAATGAAAAACAAGAGGCAGAGGTGAACACAGTCTTGTTGCACAAAAAGTTAGCCAAGATGTGTAAGTACTTCCATTTTATTTATTTTTTTATGATTTAAAAAAGTATATGATTAGATCATGGCATTATATATTTTTTAGAATATTTGCATTTATATATTTATTGATTTAGGCAAGTGCACATATTAGTTTCAATTCCATCATTTTAATCTTATAACAGCCAGTGACCTCGAAAAGTGTCAGTCTGAAGTGAGAGAACAGAAACAGTACCGAGATGAGCTGGAAGCAAAGCTGATGGCAGGAGAAGACCTTGTACAGCAACAGGTATGTTAATTTATTAGTTTAAAGTCTCAGCCCACAGGGACTGCTATATTGAGAGATGTGAATTTAAACCCTTTTCATGAGCAAAGTATAATTTTTGTCCTTCAAAAATAGTTACAGAATTGTTAGTGAAAGCAGAGGCAGCAGTATCTTCTTATTTTAATTAGGTTTTTGAAATGATTTAATGCACCTTATATTGTAAATGTTCTGATAAGAAATTATACATATGAAATTACATATATTTTAAAATTTCAGATGCATAGGTTAGCAAAAGAGTCTGAGCTTCTAAGAACAGAAAATGCATCATTGCAAGACACAGTTAATAAATTACTGGAGTCAAATGATGAGTTATCCACCAAGGTGAGTGCAGACTACTAGGCTTTACTATGCTGTATAAAGAATCTGGCAACTTGATGTAAGTGAAATACATGAGAATATCTGTATTAACTCCTTGGTGTTCTTGCTCTTGCAGAAAGAATCCTTACACAGAAGATATATGCTCGTCACGGCAGAAAGAGATCGATTGGAGGAGGAGATTTCAACACTTTCAAGAGCAGGATTGGAAAATCAAAGCATAATAGAATCCCAGTCAACTCTACTAGTAGATCTTAAAGTTCGTAATATTATGCCTTGCATTTTTACATGTATTTATTTGTTTAGTTGAACATATTCCCTATGAAAGGTGCAAATGATCATATATAATACCCAAATTTTTTGTTCCATTAGAGTCAACTTGAAGAACTACAACAATGTCTTTTGGAGAATAACAGACCTGCCAATCGTACCATTGAAGAGTCTTTTGAAGGTGGATCTCCAATGAATTTCTATGATGCCCCGTCCCCAGCAAATGGAAGTAAGTTGCTTTGCTTAACCGATGAGCAAGTGGTATAAATTTTGTGATTTAAAAGTCTAATGAATTTAATTCAAGGAATAATGTTTTCCATTCTGTTCATTAAAACTTCAAATTGTTCATTTCTTTCAGGTGGATCTGGAGGCAATGTGTCTGGAGAGAACATGGCTGAAGCAATTGTAGATAAGATCTTGGGTGAGACTCAGGAGCAATTAGCCAAACTTCAGACTCAGTATGCTGCTCTGAAAGAAAAATTGGGAGAAACCACTTACAGTAGAGACCAACTCCTTGCCCAGGTGAGCTGCAACATAAATTTCATGGTGCAAAACTATTGGTAGATTAGTAGTGGAATTGTCTTTATGGTGTTTTTTTTTTTACATTATGAAATATGTTTAGATTGATAAAAATAACTATCCTTTTGCCCCCCCCTCCCCCCCCAAATTCATGTATTTACATATTTTGTCTTGTATTTCAGGTTGAAGCTCTCACAGGTGAAAATGATGCCATAAATGTTGAACTTGGGCAAGTTAAGGGGAATTATTCTCAGTTGATGGTTCAGCATGCAGAGCTTCAAGAGCAAAATATTGTAACATCATCTCAACTACAGGAAAGCCAATCCAAATTCTTGCAAGTAGAGACTGAGAAAGTTGGCCTACAGGTAAGTGTCATTCTTAATATTACCTTTCATAAATAAGCATTTGCATTACAATCAATTTAATATTTGGTTGTATATAATTATTATTTAGCTTTATCTTTTCCTTCCTTTTGGTAGAAAGAACTTCAGGAATCACAAGTCTCTGTCCTGACCCTGAAGGAACAACTAAGCCAAAAAATAAAGGAATTGGCTGGACGCTGTTCAGAATTGGAAGAAGTTGAAAGTAAGCTGAAACTGGCCAGCCAGGAACTGGAATGCACTGCAGCAAGTCTGAAGACGGAGACAGAAGCCAAGTGTACTTTGCAAGAGGAATTTAACAGAACTGTATCAAGACTGAATGAGGATTTCCAAATGCAAAAAGTTAACCTGACAGAAGAATATGAGAAGAAGGTATACACTTGTTGATAGTTTCATTAATCGTACATTTTGGTAAATTTACATGGAGTATTGTGATGCCAATCTGTTCATATATTCAGAATAATCTGCTTGAAATATCACTTGATTGATTTTTCTATCTTTTCTTCTAGGTTGAAGAACTGAATAACAACCTGTCAATTATCATGGTTGAATGGGAAACTCTATCAAAAGAGAAAACTTTGTTAAAACAAGAACTTCATAACAAAGAAGAAAGCCATATAAATGAAAAGAATCTGCTTGAGAAAAAGGTTTCTGAGATGGAGGGCGAGATTTCAGCCTTGGTGAGTGCCGTGGGTGCAAAAGAAAGTGAGCTAACGGAACAGCTCGCCAACTTCACTAAGCAGGTATTTGCCTTTAGTTATTTGTTTTTCTGTATATATGGTATTGCAGTTTGTTTTATGTACCATGAAATAAGAGGTTAATTTTTTTCATGAAACTATTTTGTGTTTTTTGAACAGATGGACTCCATAAATGCTGAAAAGGTGGTGCATGAAGGAAAGGTGGCAGAAGTTTGTGCACAAATAAATGAAATGGAAGCACAGCATGCAGCAACTTTGGATGTCCTAAAAGCAGAAGCAGAGAAACAGCAAAATGAATTTGACAACACTCTCTCTGAATTACAGGATAAGGTAAAAGTTACAAAAACAAATTATATTGTCACTGCAGCTAGAATTGCAATGGTAAAGTGTATACTGTACATATACATATACATAAACATATGCATGTGCTTGTATACAGCCTTTGATGTTCTTAGGATATGTATGATATGTCTCTTCTTGTCAGCAACTTCTCTGTCAAAGGAAAAAAATATACTATAGTGAGAAGGAAAGCTCTCCCACATTAAAAGCAAAATGAAATGTGATGTTTTAAACTTGACGAGAATTTCTCATCGGCAATCATCAAAGAGAAAGTAAATTTTGACAAGAATACAAAAGACAGAAAGGCTAGAGGAGCAATAACTAAATCATGTCTACGGAGGCGGGTCAGGGTCAAGCAATCCTCACAGATGCTTTAGCTACTGATAGAGATGTAAGGTTATCCATGCCCTGCTATTCAGCCCTTAGGTTACGACTAGGAATTTATTTATAAGAAGGGCTTATAACAAGTTGCTTTTATATGTATTTGAAGATTTATGAAGTAATTTAGATGAGAGGGTTTGAATAGCTGTGGATGGGAAGTGGTGAGGGTGTGGAGGAGTGTTGATGGGAGAGGATGAGGGTGGAGATGAATGTGGATGGGAGGGAGATGAATGTGGGTTGAAAGGGGGTCAGTGTTGATGAATGTGGATAGGAGGGGATGAGGATGTTGATGAGAGGAGGTGAATCTGTAAATGAATTTGGGAGGGTGTGAGAGTATGGATAAATGTGGATGGGAGGGGCTGGATGAGTTTGTGAAAGTGTAGAATAGTTTCTGCAGTTGTACATGACTGGATGGGAGGAGGTGAAGATGTAGATGAGGTGGGTTGAGGGTATGGATGGTGTGGGTCTCTGTGTGGTGTTGAGTTTGAAAAAAGTTCAAGGAATCTACATATGTTAGCATACATTCATACATCATAGAGAGATAAACCAGGCCGTCCACTTCATAGCGCTAACTCATGATGCATCTTTTCCTTTTCAGATGAAGGCACTCCACTCAGAGAAGGTACAGATTTGCAATGAAAGAGATGAGCAGGTGGCAGCAGTCAAGTCACTTACTGTGGAGGTTGAGTCAAAGCAAGAAGCTGTTTTTTCATTGAAAAAAGAAAAGCAAGAAATGTGTGAAATGTTTGAACAAGAAAAGACAGCCATGTCTTCCATAATCAAAGCTCAAGAAGAAGCCCTTGATACCTTGAAGCAGCAAATAGAAGAAACATTAGAGGAACAGAAATGTGAGAAGGCAGGGCTAGAGGGAAGAATTCAAGAAAAAGAACTTGCTTTTGCCACTGTCAGAGAGGAGCTAGAGAAAACAATATTGGCACTCAAAGATGAAAAGGCAAAGCTTGAGCAGGATATTCTAGAGAAAAGTGCTGCTATCACAGGTCATGAAAATCAATTTGAGGAGTTGGTGAAACATGCAAATGAGGAGAAAGCTTTACTACTTGAAAAGATTCAGGAAAATGAAACTGCCTTTTCAGCAGCCAAACAAGAAATGGAGATGGCTGCTACATCCTTAATCAGTGAGAAAGATGTGGAGCTACAAAATAAAGAGAAGGCTCTCATGGATTTACAGCAAGAAAAGGAACTCAACTTTATGCTTATTTCTGAAGAAAAAACAAGGATGGCTGAAATTATCCAAGCAAAAGAAGAAGCTCTTGTTTCCTTGCAGAAACAAATACAGGAAGAGAAGTTGTCTACAAACAGTATCATTCAAGAGAAGGAGGGCTGTATTAGTTCACTTCAAAAGGAACTTGAAGTGGCTGCTGAAGCCTTTGGCCAAGAAAAGGCAGCTTTATGTGAATTGGTCAAGGCAAAGGAAGAGGAGATGTTATCATTGCAGGACCAGGTTAAAGAAATAGAGGCTAAGATGAACTGCACGATTCAGTCAAAAGAAGAAGTTATATTGTCTCTGCAGCAAGAATTGCAACACAGCCTTGATACCTTTGAAAAGGAAAAAAATACTATGCAGGGTGAGATTAATGCTAATCAAGAGGCATTAACATTGGCTAAACAGCAGATGGAAGAGGAAAAAGTGTGCAGCAGTAGAATTGTTGGGGAAAAGGAGGAAGCTTTAACATCTAAACAGCAGGAATTACAGTCTAATGTTGAGTCCTTTGAAAGAGAAAGAGTGGCTTTGCAAGCAGAAATTAAAGCTAAGGAAGAGGCTTTAGCACTGACTAGTCAACAGTTACAAGAGGAAAAGATGTCCATGGCCAAAATGATTGAAGAAAAGGAAGAAGCTCTCAAATCTAAACAAGAAGAAATGCAAGAGGCAGTAGAAAGGTACAATAAAGATAAAATGTCCTTAGATGAAGACCTGAAGTCAAAGGAAGAAGTCATTTCATCACTGCAAAAGAAATTGGAAGATGAAGCCTCAGCCCACAGTGAAATGTCACGCATGAAGGAAGAAGCGCTGTTTTCTTTAGAGCAGAAAATGCAAGAAGATTCAGGTGTCTTTGACAACGAAAAGGCAGCCATGGTTCAAGAACTCCAGAGTAAAGAAAGAATGCTGAATCTACTTGAGGAGCAGAATAGAAATACTCAAGGAAGATTGGAAAGTGAGATGACTGCTCACATGCAAGCTCTTCAAGAAAAGGATGCTTGTATAAGCCACCTCAGGGAGGATATGAAAAAGGCAGAAGAGGAACATCAGTTGCATATACAAAAACTGCAGAGTGACCTCACAGATGCTTCTGCTGCAAGTGACACCCAACAGAAAACAAATGATGAGCTGCTAAGAGAAATTAATGCCCTGAAAAATGATATCACCACAAAAGAAGCTTTGTTCAAGCAAAATCTAACAGAAAAACAGGAAGAGACAGTGTCTGAGATCATGATTCTAAAAGAAAGTCTTAGTGAAAAGAGCAATGCTTTAGAAAAGGTTCATAAGGAAATTGAGGAACAACAAAATAAACACAGTTTAGAGATTGAGGGATTGCAAAAGGCACTTAATGAAAATGCAGTGATGATGACATCTCTCAGAGAAGAGAAATCAGAAATAGAGAGGAAAATGTTTGAAGAGTTGAGTTCTGTCCAGCTTGTATTGGATACAGTCAGGAAGGAGAAGGAGGAAGAAAAGCAAAATAATGAGAACCAAATTTCCTCTCTCAACAGAATGTTAGAAGACAAGTCTCAAGTTCTAAAGGCTGTGGAAGAAAAACTTGTGCTTTCTCAGTCCCAACATGAAACTATGAAGAGTGATCTTGAGAAGAATCTCTCTGAGATCAAGGAAAATGAGAGTGCTAAGACTGTGGCCATGATGTCAGAGTTGGCAGGAAAATCAGAAGAAGTCTTATCTCTTAAGCATGAATTAGACCAAATTCAAGAAGAGAAGAGGTTATTATTGGAGAATATCCAGCAGAAAGAAGATGCTTATTCTACATTAAAGAATGAAGCAGATCAAGCGATGTTGACTCTGAAGAAGGATATGGAACAGGAGATTAAGGACAAGGATGAACTATTAACAGTACTGCGAGAAGAGAAAGAAATTCTGGCTAAAGAGCTTTCCCAAGAAAAAGTGTCTTTGACTGAAATGATCAATGAGAAAGAAAGGATTGTGTCTACACTGCAACAGCATACACAAGGTTCTACTGAAATGCATGAGAAATTGACTTTAGAGGTTAAGCAGTTGGAAGATGGTCTTCTAGAAAAGAATAAGGCCCTAGGTGAATTACAAGCACAGATAGAGGAGGAGCAACAAAAACATCAATCGGAAGTCTGCAGTCTCAAGGAAACTGTATGTGAAATAACGAAAAAAATGGAGTCATCTACTGAAATGCAAGAGAAATTGACATTAGAGGTTAAGCAGTTGGAAGATGGTCTTCTAGAAAAGAATAAGGCCCTAGGTGAATTGCAAGCACAGATAGAGGAGGAGCAACAAAAACATCAATCGGAAGTCTGCAGTCTCAAGGAAACTGTATGTGAAATAACGAAAAAAATGGAGTCATCTACTGAAATGCAAGAGAAATTGACATTAGAGGTTAAGCAGTTGGAAGATGGTCTTCTAGAAAAGAATAAGGCCCTAGGTGAATTGCAAGCACAGATAGAGGAGGAGCAACAGAAACATCAGTCTGAAGTCTCCGGTCTCAAGGAAACTGTATGTGAAATAACGAAAAAAATGGAGTCATCTACTGAAATGCAAGAGAAATTGACATTAGAGGTTAAGCAGTTGGAAGATGGTCTCCTAGAAAAGAATAAGGCTCTAGGTGAATTACAAGCACAGATAGAGGAGGAGCAACAGAAACATCAGTCTGAAGTCTGCAGTCTGAAGGAAACTGTTTGTGAAATAACGGAAAAAATGGAGTCCCTCGAAAAAGAAAAATCAGCTGTGAAGCAGAGTGTTACAGAAGAGCTGGGGTCACTGAAGATGAGCCTAGATACCCTTAAGAAGGAAAAAGAGGAACAAGAACAGAATTACAAAGAACATGTAGCATCACTAAATACAATGCTCTCAGAAAAATCTGTTCTTCTCAGGACTCTTCAGCAAGAATTGGAGCAGACCAGCTCAACTTATGAGTTGCTAAAGGGTAAGATGGAGAAGGAAATCTTGGAACTGAAGGAAAAGGAAAGCTTGAGAGTTGCTGAACTGAAATCACAGTCAGATGAGAATTCCAAGAGGATGCTAGTCATGAAGCAGGAGATGGAACTTGTCCGCTCAGCTAGTGAAGAGCAAAAGAATAAGGAGAAAGAAGAAGTTGAATTACGTGAGAAGGTTGCCAGGGATGCTGCTGTCTCTGAATTAGAAATTAAGGTTGGTACCTTACTGGTATTTGTCTGAAAACTTTATTGCATTCCCAACTAAATATGCTATGAGTTAGAAATATTGGTTATTCATTATTAAAGTGTAATACTCTTATTTATTCAGATTAAAACCTTGGAGGATGAAAAGATAGCAAAGGCCAAAGAACAAGAAAAGTTTGAAGAGCAGATGAGGACAAGACTTGCCTTGCTTGAGAAGGAAGTGAAGACCAAAGAATCCACTCTCGACTTACAAACCCAGGAGGTGAAGTTTAGTACAGTTTTTTATCATGATATCAGTGATTATATTTAAATAGTAACAGAGTTTGGTTCAATTTAGATATTTTTAATGATTGATTTAGCATGCTCATTTAGTCCAATGTCATTGACAGATTGAAAAAGCCAAAGAAAAAGTGGAGAAACACAAAGCCCATGTTTTATCTTTGGAAGCAAAGTTGATTGATAAGGAACAGGAAGTCACTGCAGCAAAGGTAAGTTCAGTGTTCCTCAAGTTTCTCATAGATTTTAGCATTCAGAGATTTTTTCTATGCAAAAGAATGTATATCATTAAGTTGTTTTCATGAACTTTTCGAATAGATGGTTGTGTTCAGTCAGGAAACAATTACCAAGTTTTTTTTCTGTGGTTTTATCAGGAGGAGGTTATGAGAATTGAACGTGAAAGTAACAGGTCAACTCAGAGCTTAACAGAAGAACTACAGGCTGTTAAGGATAATTCTCGGGCAGAGAGACAATCTGTTGTTCAGAAGATGGTGAGTTGTTCATATGTTGTAAGAGATATGATACAAATTCTGTTTCCATAAGGAACTTGCATCAGCTTTAAACCACTGCTGATAAGGATAGCATGTGTGTACAGCATATGCCATGTCCTTTGTAATTTTGGTATATTAATTGTGTTTAGACATAGGTGACTCTACCAATTCTTATTTACTAATGAACCAATAAGTAGTCCAACCTGTCTCACTTGTTTGCTCCTTTTCCTTGAGTATCAAAAATATTTCTTATTTTTATTGCTGGTGGTACTGTTGATATAACAGTATCAATAACAATTGTATTAGAAAAAAAAAATCCCCAAAATGGCAAATGAAGTGAGGCTTACTAATTGAACATGTATTGTAAAGACATTGACAAAACATTACATCTTTCAGGGACCATGTAATTGTTGTTAATATTTCTTTTGCTCTGATAACAGAAAGCTTCGTACAAGACTGAGGTTGAAAAGCTCATGGTACAAATTGAGGTGCAAGAGAAGGTGTTGAAAGAGAAGCAGATCTTACACCATAAGTATGAACAAGCAAAGAAGAAGCTGTCAGAGGTCATGACAGAGCTCAATGAAAACAAAAAGTCAGAAGAATACTATCAGAAACAGGTAGAGCATTTGATTAAAGTCACAGAAGGTTACCCCTTTCACTTGTGTTGAAGTTTATGTAGTTGTATGTCCAACATATTTTTTTCTTTCTTTCTTTCTTTTTTTTTCTTTTTCTTTTTCTTTTTCTTTTTTAAGGACTGAAAAATAATATAGAGTAAAGAGGAATATTTGAGACAACCATGTCATATCCACATAGATGGATTCCACTGAAATAGAATGAAAATTTTCCCTTCTAGATGACAAAGTACAAGGATCATGTCAACAAACTCAACGAGAGTCTTCAGAATGAGAGGAAGAAACAGGCAGATCTTGTCGAGAGAATACAAGAACTGGAAGAACAGAAGTTACCAATAAAGGAGAAACTGCATGAGTCTGAGTTAACAATAAAGCGACTTGGCAATGAAAACCGAACTCTTGAGGCCCAAGTAAAACTGGCAGACTCCAAAATGAGAACAATGCAGAAACAGTGGGAGAGAGAGAGCTTTGGGGTAAGAAAGTATCATTATATACAGATTTGTTAAATCCTTGTGATTTATAAATGGTTCTTGTTTGTTTGTTTTTTAGTGTAAAATAGTTGTTTTATCTTGTTTTTCATTTCTTTTTCTGCAACAGTTTCCTAGCACATTGAGAAAGGCTGCTTTGTCTGAGACTCAGCTCAGTGAAATTAAGATGCCAAGACCTTCATCATCTTCCACTGAAGAGGAAAGCTTCAATGATTCAGATCTTGCACTTATACGAAAATCAACGAAAAATCGTCCCAAAGAAATGACAAGAGCTGTCTCATCAGATGTGGTATGTATAAGGTCAAGAGATTTGTGTACTCCAGCTAGAAAATATATTGATGAAAGGTAGACTGTGTTTTGAAGGAAATATACAGAATAACAGATAACTAGCAAGCATTTTTAAGAACTTGTTAGAAGTTGCTGTTTTGATGGAGTTTATAAAATCTGGATTATAAATACTAATAAAATATTTCTAATAGCCAAAGCTATAACCAAAAGATACATCCCTATGTAATTTCCACAGGTATTCAGGAAACCTACTCGCCAAAACACAGCGATTGAGAAGCAGCCAAAGAGTAGTGTAGATATTGCCAACCTAGCTGTGGCTGCAACAGGAAAGAAAAAGATCACTCCATCGCTTGAGAAAGTAGTGTCAGACAAGTCACTGGGGCATTCGGTACCAAGGGACATGCTCTTCAACTGCGAGGATGAAGAAGAACTTTTCAGCAACAAATATCTTATTGACATGCAGGTAAATTGACTAGGGTTGTATTGCAGAGGCACTAATATGTTAGTTGTATGTCTGATTTATATGATCATATAAAGAATTACAGCTGCTTAAAACATAATTGAATACAGGTAAGAGGAGAATTGCAAGTGTAAATGTTGAAATCAGATGTATGTGCGATTTATTTATTTATTTACTTTTATTAAATGATTTATTTTTATTTTGTGATTATATGGATTTACTTTACAGGTTGGTCGGTGCAACACTCTTGATGACCCCCACTGGAAAAGATTATCTGAACTTCAGAGGAGAAATTCCCTTTATCCACCCCATATGCGGTCTGCTTATCCTGCTGAAATGCAGTTCAGACCACTTCAGGACTTTGATGATGACAAATTAAGGGTAGGTTTCTTGTATTTTATTTATCAACATTATCTGAGATTTGTTTTCATGTTGGTTTTATGTTATCTGTTCATTTATTTGGTGATTGTAGTTTTACTGTATTGTAATGCCCAGTAATCTTTTTTTTATTAGACTGAAGAACATGATAGTCCCATAAAGAATAATATTAAGATTTCTGTTTGTTAGCAGTTTCTTAAGTAGCAGTATCTTTCTTTTGTTCTTGTACAAAATCTGAAATATCTTTTGTAATGTATTTTTATATATATATATTTTTTTTATCAGCAGTTACTGTAATGGTATTTTGTGTAGTATGCTTCTAATGAAACATTCTTTAGTAAACTACAGAATATGAAATGCAAGAATTCTAGTATTCAGTTTACAGTGATATGATCATGAACTATACATGTTTTTCCATTGAGGTAATGATGTAGGTTGGTGATATTTAACTTGAATAGAACTTGTCTGAATAGCATCACTCTATTCCTAGTAATTATCACCACCAAAGTGTCAAGTGCATCTTTGCCACAATAAAAAAACTTATAGATTGAAAGCATGAACTAAAGTAGTGACTCCTCGTTGGCTTAGAGAAGTGCATGTTTTTGTTCAGTAAGTGCAGTAAGCCTGGAGAGTGGTATAAAGCACTGGAAACAAAGTTATTAAGATTATGGTGGAAGCAGACTTGATTTCTGTTAAAGACTGTATATTAGTTTTTGGGGAGATTAGGGATATAAGTATTTTATTTTGCTAAGCGAAACTATTTTTATTGCAGTATGAAAAGGTTTAATTACTCTTTCTTGTTAACTATTTGAACAGTATAGCTACAGGTACTATTGTACTTATGAACACTACATGAAACAAAATTGTTGCATTGAATCACAAAAATGGGATGGTGTCTTTATCATGTTAGGTTTCTAAAAGTATTTCGTGGTAATAATTTAGTATTACGGCAAATGTACGTAGAAAGTCTCTTCTACAAACTGACATATCTTGAGATTGCTACCCTGCCATAATCTTGCTGCTGAAGTCTAATATTTCAAATGTCAAACAAGTTGTTTTGCCTCTCCCCAGGCTGGCAATGCTGTAGAAGATAGACAGCTGTTGAACCTGACACAGGCTACTGAGAACCTAGGTCTTGATTCTCCGGCCTTCAACCTCCGAAAACGGAAGTCTTTGTCAGATTCTACACACTCAGAAACATCTTTAGACTCTTCTGGGGGAAAGCGTTCTAAAAGATTATCTGTAAGCAATCCGGTTCTCATTAAGGCTTTGCCTTTGCTTTTCTTTAAGATTGGGATTGTTATTTTTAAATCATCACGGTTTTGAAATATTGTTGATGTTTGTTTTAGGTAACTTAAAAGCATGTTTATTATACATCACCTGGTTACAGTCATCACTTAATATTGTTTTATATGTATTATAGACATGGTTAAGCCTTTTAATGTACATACAAAATATTGTTATTAAAGTGGTCCTCTTACCTTGACCATTTTTTTTTTCCTGTTAAGGTAATGTCAAGGTCTACATTGGGGGGGAAAATGTGAAAGTAAAAACTGAGGATTTGAATGACAACAATAGCAAGTGAATATGTGTATCATACTAATAAAAAATGTGAAACTGTAACAAGAGGTTACTCTTAGGTTAGTTTAAGATCTTGTGCATGTTTTTACCACTGATGTTAACAGAGATACAAAATTATTGTTGTACCATGCCATTCCAATGTAACTGTCATTTCAGACATCCTACTCAAGACCAGGACCACCAACTCCTGGGAGAAAGAGTTTGAGTCGAGCGGACAAAGAAAATCGAGCTGAGAACACTTCCACCCTCTCTGTAGGAAGTCGGGGGAGCAAGGTAAGCAGGTTTTTTTGTTGGTATTTTGTTAAATTTTATGATAGCACAAATAAGTTGCATAGTCTCTAGTTCACATAATCACCGGGCTCCCCAAATAGGCATAGCCTGGGCGAGGTTCTGCTTCGCGAATTATGCATGCTTATGGTATTTATTAGCAGCATTATTTCTAGTTGCATTTTTATAGAGTGTAGATGATGAGGTACACCATACCCTATAAATATTACAAAATATACCATGACCACTTTGCCTTTCAGATGAGCCCCAAGTCCACCTATCCAGAAGGTTCTCCCGTTTCCACACGATCCAGAAGAAGGACTAATGCCCGCTCCACCCTGTCACCTGGCTCCAGTTCCACTGCATCTGCCCGAACCCCAGGTGCCAGGTCCAACCATTCAGGGAGGTCTCCAGCCAATGTCTCTGTCCTAAGTAAAAAGGGCATGACACCAAGAGGGAAGAGAGGTTTGACACCCTCATCACTACGTAAAATCCTCTCTAAGGGGAAGTCACAATGGAGGAAATTGGAAGATGAGGCAGAGGTAAGGATATGAATAAGTAAAGCTACAGTCACAATCATTTTTATCAACAATCAGTTTGATAATATCCTACCTTTCCTGGTCATATGGGTAAACAGAACCTTCTTGAAATTTGAGTTTTCCAAATTCCAGATGCAAAAAAAATTCCATTACCTTCTTGATTTGCAAAGTTGCGCTGCTCTTTATCCAATATGCAACACTGTCCATATTCATTCTTGAGATGTGCATTTTAATGCAATCAAGTTACTTTAGCAGATGTGTGTCATAGCCATTATCAAGTGAAATCTAATAAACACACTTGAAATATGTGAGGATATAAAGTACCATATTAAAATGTATATTTTTGATTAATTGAAATGTATGAGACATTAACATGTAACATGAGTTAGCAGACTATAGACTCTCTTGGTATGCCAACTCAAAGGTTAGGGGGAAGTGAGAAAGTTAGATATTAGTACCAATCTGTTGTTGAAAAAATGTTTTTGTGACTATTGCTTAAAAAAAACTATACTGAAAATTAGATTGCAGTAATTATGTTTTTAACTTTGAAAGGGAGAACGATTTGAGCTGGTGGATTTTCTTTTATAAGCTGGATTTCTGTCCACTGGAAGATTTATATCATGTATAAAATTCTCTTTCATAGCTTGTATGCTTTTTCCCCCCAGTTATTGTGTCCTCTTGTTTGTGTATGTGCATATAGTAAGATGAAAAAAAGCAAGCTTTTGAAAGTGCTTTCTGCTGATTTTTGTCCTGTGTGCATGAAGCATGGCAGATATGTCTAGTGAAATGAGCAAGTTATGTTTTATTTTCTATGCATTCTACATAGAATTTTAAAGAACTTATGAAATATAGAAAATGCAGTTCATCAAATACTGCTTCTTTGCTTTCTGTACCTAGACTGTATTAATTCTGTTTTATAGAACGATAGTGTTGACTATGAATTATCAGTCATGATATTGGCAATGCATTTAACATTAACATTTATGGGACAGACTTTTTGCAAGTGTTCATGTAATGTTGTATTGATAACACTTGAATGCAAATCATATCGAAATATTGAAAGCCTTGATACATAATTGAAAAAATGCACTGTATGTATGTGGTAAGGGCAGTTTCTTTCCATATTTGAGGAAATTGTTTGATTCACATTTTTCTTTTTCATATTTCACTTATTTTGAAACTGTAGCATAGATTTTGTAATTTTGTTTTCCATGAGATAGATGGTACTGTAAGTATCCTCTAAATAATAGTTGGCTAGTAAGATTATAATTCAAATGAAAATATAAGTACCCTGCTTATATAGACTTACAAAGGGCCATTAATTTGGCTTGTTTGGCAGTATGGCCATTAGCTGAGGTAAATGTGGTGGAGGGTGTTGTAGATCTTCACCTGTACATTCAAAGAGAAAATTACTTGTACTAATTTTTTGGGTATGAAGTTGCTTATGTGAAATTACTTCTTGAAACTTATTTAAAGTGCATGAGATCATTAGAATAATCCCTGCATTGCAAAAATGCATATATTTACATATCATTATATAATTCACTTTCTTCGTCAGTGTCTGTTTGTACTAATTGGAGGTTAGTGAGAGTTACGTGTTCCCTGTATATTTAAGATATGGAAGCCAGAGCAAAAAGTTTCTTAAGCTTAGTACCTAACCAGACTAACCCTCCCATCAACTCCGCCCATCCTTCTAACAGACACCCAGGGGACTTGGGGACAGCACAGGATCAAATGGCAGCTCAAAGTTAAGGATTTTCCGTAGGCCCTTCGGTTCCAGAAATTACAATGTTCTCTCTGCATCCCTAAGGTTTGTGTTTGTCTGTCTGCAACTAGACTGTGCAAGCTCTTGCCTGCTCAATCCCGCAAGCTGAGCATGTTGGTCTTGCAAGCTGTGCTCTCTGCTGATGCTGATGCCTGTGCTTTTGTTTTTTTTATTGTTTGAATTCCAGTGCTATGCTATCAAAAGTGATAATTGGATTCTCTTCCTTTTTTAAGTATTTATTTTGTCAGAGTATTTACTTCTCTTGTTTTTTCCTTTTTTGAGATTGCAGTGCATGACTGATCTTGTATATCCTCTACTACCACTCTTACACTTGATGGAGTTGGAGGTTTAAAGGGTTATTTTCTTTTCTTTCCCTCACTAGTATTGTGTTCTTTTTCATAAGTATGAGTAATGTAAGTGCTAACATAATAGTTTTTATATATTGAATATGTGTGGGTGTGTGTGTTTTAGTGTATGTGCATGTGTCAGTATGTGTGTGAGTGTGTCAGCATGTGCGTGTTTCCTTGTCTATGTGTATTTGTCCTTGTGTCTGTCTCGGTATGTGTGTGTTTTAGTATATGTGCATGTGTCAGTATGTGTGTGAGTGTGTCAGCATGTGCGTGTTTCCTTGTCTATGTGTATTTGTCCTTGTGTCTGTCTCGGTATGTGTGTGTTTTAGTATATGTGCATGTGTCAGTATGTGTGTGAGTGTGTCAGCATGTGCGTGTTTCCTTGTCTATGTGTATTTGTCCTTGTGTCTGTCTCGGTATGTG